AATTGGCTGGATGACTAATGCTAGTGAATGTAAGGCTCTTGGCACAGCTGTTCACCACGAGAGTAGGTAGCAGGTGGGTATCTATGACGGCTCCTCACAATTCACTCTGCTCTGAATAATCTTACTAAAGATTTCCCTCATCATCACTCTGCATATTCAGCATAATTACCAAGAAACCTCACACATCATGACTTTGTGTACAGGGGGTGCCAAATTCACTTTCTGGATATCCTCATGAGGCAGAGTGAATTTTTTTTTTTGCAATATTCTTTTTTGTGTGTTGTGCTCCACCTTTGTGAAATGTTGGGATGAGATCAGAGCTGACAGGTGCCTAACAACATGGCTAGCTGACCAAAACTTTAAACTAGCAGATCTGGTCTCAGATTACGCTCTTCTGAAGGAAACTACCTTGGACATCCTTCCCTGCTACAGCGTCTGCGGATCAGGTGGATGCTCGGGACACGTACGGGAGAAAGCTGATCAGTGGTGACAGCTGTGTGGTACTCAGGACAAAGGTGAACATCAGTGCTTCTCCTTTAGCTGAATGTTTGCCTGCATAATTTTGACCGCACAGGTGAGTTAGTGATCTGACAACTTGGTGCTGTTTCCTTGAAAACACACCACACACACACACACACACACACACACACACACACACACACACACACACACACACACACACACACACACACACACACACACACACACACACACACACACACACACACACACACACACACACACACACACACACACGATGTTAGATTAAGGTAGCATTCAACGAAAAGAAAAAAATCCTAGAGAAAGCAACAAGCAAGCCTGAAAGCTTCTTACAGTCAACTTCAGGAGACTGCTAGAAAAATCATCAGAACAGCAAATGTTAATCCTATTCCCATTGTGTGTTTTTGGCTATTTAAACAAGAGAGTAATGTCTCCAATGTAGCCAAAATACCATTTGCAGCCTCAAAAGTGAGGCACTTACTTTGCCAGGATGTAAATCAGCAGGATCTCTCAGCATGCCGTGGAGCATAATCCTGCCCATAAAATATTCCTCCGTGTTCAGCCAAAGTACTGGTAGACACCCCTGACGGCCAGCTCATCATCTTGGCTGTGGATGCCCCATGTGATTCAAAGCTGGTAACTCACACCCCCAGACAAACGTTCATACTCCCTGGGGAGGAAGCAAGGCTTAATTTAGGTAATCCCTCCCAACCCCAGCGAGTATACCAGCTGATATAAACCAGGCCTCACTGACTAGAGGCACGTTGTTCATACATTTCAGAGATGCCTCAATGGAGAAATAGTTTGTTATTGCATTTGGAGGATTAAAAATCAAATAGAGAATATGTAAGGCTGATCAATAAATTTTGAAAAACATTAACTTTGGCCTTCTCTCCATTAACAGGTGAAACTCTTTGGCTGCTCTTGAAAGTGCTTGGTAGATCTTCCCACATTTCACTGAGTATATAAGCAGACAATAACAATAAACAGAGAAGAAAGTATGCTAAGTAGAACGGATGCATGGCTCTGATTGGTATAAAGTAGCTTATGCCTGATTTTAGAATTGATGATCCACCAAACCTCCATGTATATTCTGGATCCTTCATCAATCAGGATCTTAGAAGCTTAACTGCAGTGATAACACAACCAGGAGATACAGCAGAAAAATCTGCCCTCAGGAGCCACTCCGGAGGTAATGTTAGACAGAGGGCTTACAGTCAAAACGAAAGTGCTGCGGATAGGATATAAGGAATATTTTTGTTTTTATCAGCATGGGAAATAAATAAACCTGAAATCTCTAGATTCATTATGAAATATCTATATCACTTTAAAAGCAATTTGGTATTAACTGAAAATATTATCTTATGTAATAACTAGGGTGATTTTTATATATAAGAAAAGCTTGATTTTCCAAGGAAATTAGATTTTAATTAAAGATAGTAAATTCATGTCTTCAACAAAAAGCACCTACGTGTTTGTGCGAAGCACTCTGAACTTGATCTGGAGTGGTGTTTTGTGTTGTGAGGACTAATGGTCTGACTGTTTTACTCATAGAAAAAAGAGAACTACTTATAAAAAGTTTGTCCTTTAAAATATTGCCCATTATATAGGGAACTTTATGCTAGCATGACCATATGCTTTATCACAAGTCATGATGGAAAGCCAAAGTTAATGACAATAATATTCAGTTAAGGTAGTAAGAATTTGTTAAAAACAACAAGAAAGGATGAAATGAGCATGAGAAATAGGAAGGGAGGGAGAGAGAGAGAAGAAGGAAGGAGTGAGAGTTACACAGCAACTTAGGAGCGAGAGTCATTGTGGTAATTAAGAATGAGACACCTGAAGCCCCTCCACCTCCAATTTGTGCATGGTATCCTCACAGTCACGGTGGGATGTGCTGTAGACCAGGAGCTACTGCATATGTCAGTAGGACAGAAGTTAAGAATATAAATTTATTCTGGTAAAGTTTTGAACATTTATGAGGTGGTAACAAACACACCAAAAGGGTGAAATAAAACCATGCTATGGAATACACAAAAAATTAAGCACCGTACATAAGAACAATATGGGCAGGATATGTTATTGCTTCAAAAATATATTTCAGTTTTTAGATTTTTTTTTATTGGAAAGTCAGAGCTAGAGAGAGGAGAGACAGAAAGATCTTGTCTGCTGATTTACTCCTCAACAGGCCACAACAGCCATAGCTGAGCTGATCCGAAAGCATGAGCCACAAGCCAGGAGTTTTTTCTGTATCTCTCACGTGAGCACAGAGGCCCAAAGAGCTGGACCATCCTCCACTGCTTTCCCAGGCCATTCGCAGGGAGCTTGTTGGGAACTGGAGCAGCAGGGACACACATCATCACCCATATGGGATCCCAGTGGTTGCAAGGCAAAGAGTAAGCCATCAGGCTATCATGCCTGGCCCAAAAATCGACTTCTTTTTAAAGAAAGATGGTTGCAAAGCAGTGTGTATGGTATAAAACAACTTCTTGATTTGTAATATGCAGCAAATATTCAATCATCAGTAGAATAATGACTTTTAAAAACTATTTTTTTTATCTGAAAAACAAAGTTACAAAAAGGAGAGACAGAGAGAGGGAGAAAAAGAGTGAGAAGGGGAGAGAGTCTTCCCTTTGCTGGCCCAGTTCCCAAATGGCCACAACAGCTGTTGACTCCAGCCCCAGGACGACAGTTTGACATTTTTTTGGGGGGGGGGTACTTTTTCCTTTCTCTAAACTAAACATGTAATATTTTTTTAATTATAAAAACAAATCAGAAAATAAGGTGAATTGCCATTGTTTTACATACTCATGATGCCTGAACAAAGCTTTTACAATAACACCTTGAAATGCATGACTGTAACATTTATTTTTAGTGGCTCTAATGCCTAGGATGGCTAAGGTAAAGCAAACCCAGTACATATCCAGTTCCTGTGAAATCACCGTAGATGCAATGTGCTTTTTCAACAGGATTTTCAATTCTGGAGCATTTCACGACACAGCCAATTCAAGGTCAAGTCCTGTCAAGTTTATTTATAATTACACAATTTACCCCATGACACAGTACAAAGATAAATAAGTGTAGGATTTAGAAATAGAGGTCACAGGGCCTGAGGGACCTGTTATGGATACCGAGTCCAGGGCCAGGTCTGTTTTCACATGAGGATTTAATTGTTGTTTGTATTTATTGTGAGGGAGGGAACTTTTGTTTAGGTTACCCATAGTGTGAAGAAATTGTGGAGTAGAGATGAGGATTAGCAGTAAAGAAACCTGGATATTATCCCCAGTTCTTCCATCACCTAGTTGTGTGACCTTGGGAGAGTACACTTACTTCCGCTAATCCTGGTCCCTCAGCGACAAAGGAGGAAGGAAGAAAGGAAGGAAGGAAGGGAGGGTCTTCGCAGGTGCTCTTTTGGCTTAGACAATGGCAGAAACCTGGGCATAGTGGATTGTGGCATAGTGGATTGTGGCATTGTCATTGTGGCATAGTGGATTCCACCAGCATCACATGTGGAGTCACAGCTGCTCCACTTCTAATCAAGGTTCCTGTTAATGTGCCTTGAGAGCTCTCTTTCTTTGTCTCTCTTTGAGATGAAATAAATAAATCCCAAAGAAATGTGGTAGAAATTTAATTCACCCAATACAGTAACATTTAACTAGTTAATTCTAATACAATGGTCTTTAATACAGCATAATGTACAAGAACTGAAATTTCTTTAAGTTAGACAAATATCCAGTGGAAACTATAATTAAATTCAAGATATTTGTTCTAATAAGTCAGTATTCTGAATTTTAAAACGTGCAAATATTTCAAACTTAAATCCAAAACCATCAACTTTAATTACTTAAAAGAAAATAGACTTCTGCTATCCTGCTCTCAAAATCCCTAAATGTCATTTCACTTGCCTGGGAGGAGTCACGGTTTGTAAAACCCAGCATTGTGATAATATCTATTAGGCTAACCCAAGACACTTACTATGCACTGAATAAGTGGTGTTAACAGGAGGAGTAATAAAAGGTCTCTTGATTAACTTTGAGTAATTTTCTTAAAATCTGTACATACATCTTTATTTTCTCCAATGCAAGCAAGATTTCTGAATTCAAATACCTTCTCACATATAAAGCGCTAATGAGAAGAAGCACTACTTTTTCCCTTATATTCAAAGAATTAAAGTATTTTAATTCTTTGAAAACATAAATCAATGTTTTGTGTAATAAATTTAATCATAAAAGTAATTTTCAAAATACAGTGGATTTTAAACATCTGGGTATTAGAGAAATCAACATTAAAATATAGAAAGTGTGAATATCAAGAGCGTAAAGAACGGTATTAATCCTGTAGAAATCATTACTGTACAAGCCTAAAGTTCAGCTTTCTTAGCATATCAAGATTAATTTGACTTTGAACGTGTTTTTATTGGTAAGATGCATCAAGCTTGGCCTAAAGTTGATATAGATCAAGCACATACATAAACCCTTTTGAAATAGAAAAATCCTCACCTGTTTTTCTCATGAATCTTTAGAATTTCATTTGTCTGTTGAAGAAGTTGTTTCTCTAGCTTATATGTTGATAATGAATTCTCCAGCAGTTGTATTTCAAGCCGAGATGTTTGATTTAGAACCTTAAGATAAAAAATAAAATGATTGAAAGTTCAGTGAATAACCTAACAATCTAAAATCATGATTTTTCTTATTTTTTTCTTCTTAATATGTCTCTAAGAGTGCTTAATGTGTCTTAAATCTTGTATTAGTGGTAGCTGAATGATAATATTAAAGTAGTAAATCCTTTTCATATTTCAGTCTTTGTTTTCTGAAATTCCAGAATTTTCTACGGTACTAATTATGTACATATTTTATCTGCAACACTTGCAAGTACAAATTGGATATTAGTGCAAAGTCTTAGCTAGTATAGTTAATTTAAAACAACAAAACAAAGTAAAATACCTCTTATTTGACCCATCTTCCCAAAAGCTAACTAGAAATATACAAACAATTCTTGACATACATGAAATAGATTCATGATAACACAAAAGACTTATTTGTGTTCTTATTTGAAAAACAGATTCACAGAGAGATGCAGAGACAAAGAGAAAGATCTTCTATCCACGGGTTCACTCCACAGGTGGCCACAATAGCCAGAGCTGCGTCGATCTGAAGCCAGAAGCCAGGAGCCTCCTCCAGATCTCCCACGGGGTGCTGAGTTCCAAGACTTTGGGCCATCCTTGACTGATTTCCCAGGCCACAATCAGGGAGCAGGATGGGAAGTAAAGTAGGTGGACACAAACCAGTACCCATATGGAATCCTAGCACTTGCAAAGTGAGGATTAGCCAACTGAGCCATGTGCCAGGCCCTCAATAACACTTTATCATGGATAACCATATGTAGTGGACCTCACTATGACATTAGCTTGTGAGCTATGCATAAAACCTCTGTTCTCCAAGCAAAGATGTCATGCTTCATCCCCGAAGACGCCCTCAAAGGACATCAATGTCCTTTGTTCATCTTTTTTGCTTTTTTTTTCTTTCAGAAAGGAAAGAATGATATGATCAAGGTGACCAGAGGCTGAAAGGAAGGGAGCTGTATTTGTAGGATTCAGAGAAGAAATTCTGTTGGGATGAAAGCAATTTCTTTTGTTGTAAGGTTAAAAGGGTTGTCAAACACCCACTAATCAATATTTAATGTGATTTAAAAAAAATAGAGATGAGGATTTGGAAAAGCAGTTAAAATTATCTTATCCCATAACAAAATACTTGGATCCCAAACAAAGTTCTGGACCCCAAATGGAGCTTTCTCACTCCCAAATAAATAAACAACTAAACAACAACAACAAAAAGTAATGCCAAAAAATAATTTAAAAATAAAAATAGGGTCTGATATTCAATGTGTGTGATTTCATCTAACTTGATCTCACTTGCCTTGTCCAAGTCCTTCAAGGTGTAAAATCAGGATGCCACCTGCATAGACTCAGAGCAGAGGGCCATGTCAGGAGGAGTTGGGGTTCAGAATGTTTGAATTGTCATGGATCATTAACACAGTTGTCATTAATATGGACTGAACATTGATCTAAAATTTAATATTACTGATCACATAAAACAGTTTAAGAGAGCGTCAATGGTTTCAAAAACTATATCCCTACTCCACATCATTTCCTTTCAGCAAAAATGTGATTCGAAGTTAGAAGCAACTCACAGGGGAAATTGTAGGGAATGCAAAGATTGGGAATAGACAAGTAAAATTTGAGATACTAAATACATTTTCATGCTGCTGAGATCATTGTTTGCTGGGTAGAAATTTATAAAACAATGACATGAAATGAAGCACTTATAAGTGTTCGTGACCCTCGGAAAAGCATTTGGCACAGCAGAGACATTCATTGTGTGTGAATGAAAGGTGCACTGTATCTCACTGACTCAAGCACGCCATTCATAGTTCAATTAAATCTGCTTTCTCCCTTGTTTACCATACTCCGATCATAATCTCTGGCATCTTCAGATACCAGCATTGTTATGTTTCCAGTATAGTATATTTTGTGACTATTGTTCCCCACGTGAACCAAGAGCAGAGTAGCACAATCCAAAATTCAAAATGTCTGTACATAAGTCAAGTCTGAAAACCACTAACGCTTGCGGTCTCTTCTGTCTCTACTTAGTCTGTACCCACACAGCAACCAGAAAAGCAAAAGTCAGATGACACCACGCTCTCTGTTAAACAGCCAATGGAGGGATAGGTGTTCAGGACAGTAAGAAGTCACTTGAGATGCCCACATCCCACGTCAGAGCCCTGGGTTCCAGTCCTGCCCATTCCACTTCTAATTCAGCTTCCTGCCCACGCACATCCTGGGAGGTAACAGGTAACGGCTCAGTCTGTGGCTACCTGCCACCCATGTGGGAAAGCTGCCTTGAATGCTGGGCACCTGGTGTCAACCTGACTATGCTCTGGCTGTTCCAGACCTTCAGGGAATAAACCAGTGGATGGAAGATAGGTCTATGTCTATCCATCATCTCTTTCATCCCCCCTCCCCGCAACACACACACCTCTGTCAAATAAAATGAAACCCAGTGGCTTTTCTCTGCTTTAGAATACGTTCCAGAGCCTTCAGACCAACCGACAAGGCTCTGTGCAGTCATGAGCTGCTTCTTGCATCTCACTTCCATCTACTCCTTTTTTGTTCTATTTGCTCTTGTCACACAGCCTTCTTTCTGAAATCTCCAAAGACCAAATTCATTTCCCTTTCAGAGTCTCACAATTGCGCTTAATCTTTCCACTGCTGGGAATGCTCATCTCTTCTTACATGCATGGATGGTTTCTGTTCAACCCCAAGTCATGCTCAGAGGGGCCCTTTCTTGCCACCCTCCGTAAGTAACTTTCCTCTCACCCTCCATTAGGTAACTGCTTTATTTTCCTCACGGAATTGCCACTGTCAGCAATCATCCTGTAGGTTTACTCAATTTTGTTATGTATCTGCCCCACAAGAAGGTCAGATGCACAGAGGTAGGGGCCTGGACCTCAGGACTGCTGCGGAGTGCAGCCTAGTGGGATGTTCAGAGCTGGTGCACTGGATGACGTGCTAACACAACAGTGACTGAACTTCAGTTATAACAGCCTTAATATAAAACAGCATCTAAACCTGGAAGAAGGGTGGGGAGCAATTTCGCAAGTCCATGGTAACCATGGGTTGTCTCAGATCATGTTTACACACAAATGCCAATCCCTTCTCCTCTTTCCCCACCATCATGACCCTATTGCTGCTTTATTTCAACTCTTTCCACTGATGTATTAAAATAGGCCTAAAGTTCAAAAGTGGGCAACCCTGAGAATTGTATAGCGAAGTATGATAAATTGACCACTTTCTTGCCCTGTGTCTATGAAACTCGCAGCTTAGCAATAATCCAAGTGTTCCATTAAAATGACAAAAGACATTTCCTTCTTAGCCTAAACACATCCCAAAAGCATATCTCTGGGGGAAGCAAAAAGAAAAGAAAGAAAATGAGAGAAAAGTATATAGAACAATCCCCCGAGGGATAAGTTCAAAGCCTAAATTTTCCAGACTATTGAAGAGTAAGGAAGATTCAAGGCTCAATTTGAGGATTTATTGGCTATAAAATTTTATTTCTTTCCTTTAGAAATAAACAAAAAAAATTCAAAATGGAAATTATTAGTTTTCCAGAGAGAGTGAGCTAGCACAGCTCAGAAGCCTCTCCTACAACTTTTAAAAGTGCCACTCGCCCTCTTTAAATTAATATTAACTCTGAAAAAAAGGGTGGATTTGAGCTAGAATCAAAAACCCACCAAAAGAAGCTTCTTTTTAACAAGTCAGCCCTGTCTAAAAGCTTCTCTTTGTTTTCACTTTTTTCAGTTACATTTTCACAAACAAACAAACAAACGTAATATAAAGTATAACGCCCTGGTAATGTACAATTACAGATGAAGACTCATACAAGAAAAAGGGACGAGAGCGTTACAAGAGAATCAGCCTTTGGCAAAAATCAATGAAGTAATTTCTTCAATGAGCAAAGTGACGCAGCCTTTTCTACAAGTTATTTGTTAATTTCCAATGGGAAAATGAGCTATTGGGGGTAGAATGAGATAGAAGTTGGTACCCTGCCAAGTAAAACTTGGCATGACAGCGTGCCAATCTAGTTTTTTATCCTGATAAGGTACAAAATGAAGTGATCATATATTTTACAGTGTGTTCATGACACAATATTCAATTCAACAAAATTAGCCCTTATGAGTAACTTCCAATTAAAAAAAAGATGAAAAATAAATGAAAGTTCATGATAAGCATATATTTAGAAAAGTTCAGAACATAAAGCAATCATAAGACAATTACCCAATTTTCACATACAAAAAAAATGTCAACCTTAAGGAAAAAACATGTGGAAAACCATTCCAAGTGAAAGAGATTATAAAATCTTAAAAAAACAAAGTACCTATAAAATATTGAGTGGTTAACTGTAAAAGCACAAATAGGGAACTTAGTTAAAGTCAGAGAATTTATGCTGATCCTAGTCATGATTTTGTTAACTATAATGATTTATCAGTACTATGTAGTTATTATGCGTAATTTTTAATTATAGATGATACACATCAACAGCCCCATTTTCTCTAAATGTACTGAAACCATAATAGTGTGGAGTTATATGCATAATGTAGCCTCCTTTGGTGATGGAGTTGAGTAGAATCAGTAAGGATACTGCAGCTTAGCTACTGCACACTGAAGCAACTTGCCCAACACAGCTACCATGCAGTAGAACCAAAATGGAACTCATGTAATCTCTTTGCAGAGTCTCAGTTCTTTCCCACAGACTCATATAGCTGTAAACAGGCAGCTTCCCCTGGCTAAGAAAGTTATGTGCCAAAGGAGTCCCTAGGCTCCCAGGAACAGGCCTAAGTATCGCTGTCACAATGACTCATTGCCTGAAAGTGGCCAGTGGGAACTGTGCTCTCTGTGCCAACACAGTGCAGGATTTCAGAGAACAGCAGATGGGGCAACTGGGCCCTTACCCTCCCCCAGTAGAAGATTGGAGAGGTGTATTTTTATGGCTGTGAGGAAAGACTCCATCACTAATTAATTGACAGAAATTTAAGAAAGAATTGATTTAGGACTGTTTGGCCACATTAATTTACTAAAGATAAGGAAGGATTTCATGTAGTAATATGTCCTATCTAGTACCTATGGAAATATCTTATATCAAGGAACTACTTAAAATGCCTTAAAATGATGGAATTATGATTTTATTTCTATGGTTCCTCTGTTGATTACTGGAAACTGGAGGAAAGGTAGGAAGGATGATGTAACTGGGATACAGAAGAAATGCAAAATCCACTCAGCTGGCTAGCAGCAGCACCTTCGTCATTCATGGGGGCTTTCAGTGGCTGCTTCGCCGTCCACATTGCCTTGCTCTTTACATGACTTCTGTCTTACTTTTTGCATATACTATCTTGCAACCACAGAAGAAAGAAGGGAACATAGAGATATATGCCATAAAGAGATGATATAGAAACTAAACTTTCAGACCAGACTTTCAAAATTGTGCTCCAGCCTTTCCTGGCTCTTCCACTGGGACAAGTGGGTTTCTTACCCTGTTTTAGTTTCCTCCCATTTAAACAAGCGTGGGAACACTACCTACTTCATCAGATTTGTATTTTTATGATTACTAAATAGCTGGCATGTGCAGAGGTTCTCAGGACCCAAATTAATACCATTAGAGGTAGATTTTAATGCAATTTGTATGTCTGTTTGCTTAGTGTGATAATAAAGCATCTTGCAATTTTTAGATAAAATATATACTATTCCCTCTCTTGATATTCTATATTTAATTGATAATAATATGCAAAAAAGTATTTCCCAAAGAGTATATGACATGTTGCTCCAATGATATCAACATTGAAGCTTCCAATCAAATAGTTAAATGTGAGTGTTGTTAATCAAGGGAAAGAAAAGGAAACAAATGGGAACTGCTGGGCTTCAAGTCTTGTAATCTATCCATTAATTATATGAATGAGAGAAATTACCCAATCCTTTTGACTCGTGTATTCTGCCCATATTATTATCATCGATTTTTACATAAATTGCTAAATAATAAAATGAGATACTAACACAAATGAAATAGAAGCAAGCACTAACTTGTTTTTGAATATCTATATTTCAGCTGTGATTCCAGATGTCAACCACTTTCTTTTTTTTTAAAAGATTTATTTTTTTATTTTTATTGGAAAGGCAGAAATACAGAGAGGAGAGACAGAGAGGAAGATCTTCTGTCTGATGATTCACTTCCCAAGTGAGCGCAACGGCCAATGCTATGCCGATCCGAAGCCAGGAGCCTCTTCCGGGTCTCCCATGTGCGTGCAGGGTCCCAAAGCTTTAGGCTGTCCTCTGCTGCTTTCCCGGGCCGCAGGCAGGGAGCTGGAAGGGAAGCGGGGCTGCCAGGATAGAACCAGTGCCCATATGGGATCCCGGGTGTGCAAGGCGAGAACCTTAACCACTGTGCCATCGCACCGGGCCCTGTCAACCACTTTCATAAAGAAGTATCTTGTGAGTTTCAAAAGGATACGCAGAAGAATTATGCTTCTGACTCAGAGATCAAGAGATGAATTTCTGATCATTCAAATGATATTTATATTGAACTATCATGATGGATTTGTGAAAGTGATAATTAAATACTCTCTAATTTCTCCACAGTTGTATTCCAGTAAATACGTTATTGGTCATCTCTAATGGGAGACACAGACACACATATGCACACACATTTCTGAGCAGTTCCTTTGGGGTTTTCCTTTTTACCCACTGACAGCACAAAGCCCTGCACGTGCCATTTTGGCTAGAACATCACCAGAGACAGAAACAAAGCAGGTCAAAAATGCATATCAAAGTCATCAATTTAACCCAAATGGTTATTTTATTTGACACATATCATATCACAGTTGGTAGTGGCAATGTTTATTTGAACTTAAACACTGATTAAGTCCTTTACCAGCTCTGTTTTTGCAAACACATTCAGAGCTAAATACACTAACCCTCATTTAATCAAAGGAAACATGCATAGCATGTCAGGCAGTCACTGTTGTTATTACTAATAAACAAAAATGTGTATGTTTCCCCAATCTCAGTGCTGAAATGTGCTCTGTGTTTATGGAGTGATTTCAAGGAAAAGAAAAAAAAAAAGAAGAAGAAGAAGCCTTCTCATTTGAGTTTGTGGACTCGGCCCCTGGGCCCCTACCTGGGTCTCCACATCTGTGAGTTTCCTGGTCTGCTCTGCCGTCTGGGATAAGAGGCTTGTTCCTATCTCAAGCATGGTGGCCGTGTGGTTCTGAACCGCGTTCTGTTGTATCTGAGCCATCTCCGACTTCATGTTTTCCACAATGTAATTCTCGAGCTGTAAGAGATAAAGGACAAACCATACTACATTATAAGCAAAGCCTCCCAGTTGGGGCACAGGATATTTACAATGACAAAACAAGACACAGCTGGCAAATCAGCCATCTGGCAAGGACCCTTTGTGTCTCTGGGAGCTGGGGAAATGAGAGCAGAACACACAGGAATCCAGTTGTTAACAAATTCCTAATAGACTGATCTGAGTACATGCAAGCCATCATCACGATCATAATGAAAATGTGCACTTGGGTGATGTGTTCCTGTGGCTGACACCAACTCAATTAAGCCACAGAGCCAAGATATGAGTTAAGTAAGATCATTCTCATTTTATTCTGTTGCTGAGTAAACAGAGAGGAGTAGTCATGAATTCAAGTCATGCAGCAACAATACAGGAGATGCAGGGCCGTCATTTAAGTCTGAATTGTGTCCTCTGGTCTTCCCATTATACCACATGGACCACTCATCTCAGAAAAACACAACCTCCTAATAAATAAAACTGTCATGCTGCACTGGGAAAAAGGGACACGGGGTTGGAAAAGGGCAGATCCCCAAAACGAAAGCCTTTAAAGGAATATTAAAACATAAGCAATGACATAAGAAATAAGCTATAGTGCCTGGGTGCTAGTTATAACTTTTCTCCATATTATTTTGCAAGCTCACAAATTGGCACTGAAACTGCAGTTCATAAAATAGCCTTTGGCCTTCTCACCTTGGGGAGCATTTAATCTTGTGGTGGCATCTTAAAAAAAACGCTGGCTTATAAAACAAATAGTCTCATTGCAGGCAAGAAGGAGTATTAAGTGAGTTAGCCATCAAAGAGCTAGGTAGGCACCTGGGAGGAAAAAAATCTGAGCATGTCCACTGCTTGAGAAATGCAGCAGTAGGCTGCACACCCCCATCAGAACACTTACACCGCCGCTGCATTTTATTATCCAATTACAAATACGGGGAGATTGCATCTGAAGAAGTCAGACCCAAGGCCACACGCAAAAACAGCCAAACTTGGACTTGAGTGCTGCAGTCCTTAACTCTCATACCAACACTTTCAACCACTTGGCGGTTCTGCCAAATCTGCTTAGCAAGCCGGGTTCCAAATCATTAACAGCGATGTGATTTTTACTGATTTAGTGACCCGTACTACAGTCACTATTTTATAATCCACAGTAACATTATTAGTATGCAATAAATATCATCTAAATGTAAATTCCCTTTTGTGCAGTTTTGGCAGTGTGCTTTCTAACATCATGCCTTGCTTATTTCAGTGTATCAAGCATGAATGTGCCCCTAGCTAACATAAATGAAAGGTCAGAAACAAACGCAGGCTGTTAAGAAATAACTGAGTCTGTTCTTAGTATGTTGAATTCCCTTCATCCTTTATTCCCAGATTAGAGGGGGGAGAGGTTAAGGTATGAAAGTTTATTAGAAAACAAGTAGAAGACTTAATCAAAATCTTAAAGTTGTCTAAAAATATAAGCTCTCTATGCCAAATCATGGCTTTGTTCTTATTGAACTAACGTATTTAGGACTCATTTAAGAGAACAGGTAGAAATCTGTCATTTGAGATTCTAATCACACATTTCCTTTGGAAATTGTCCTTTTTTTTTTTTTTTCGTTTAGGAACAAATGTTTTGGGTGGAGTGTTCCTATCCCAGTTTCAGGAATGGATATAGAAGTTTTTTTTTAGTCTTATCTGATTTCTTTATTTCATTCAATTAATTAATTTTATTTGAAAGGGAGAGATAGAAGTAGAACACCACACACACACACACACACACACACACACACACACACACACACACACACACACACTCTCAGAGGCCAGAACTGAACCAGGTTGAAGCCAGCAGCTTGAAATATATCCTTATCTCTCACATGGCTGGCTGAGACACACATACTTAAAATGTTACTTGATTTTCATTAGAGTAGCAAGAAATTAGCATCATTAGTGGAGACAGGACAATCTTATTGAGACATTGATAGAGGATGCAAATAGAGGATGCAGGCATCTCCTGGTACATCTCAACTACTGTAGCAAATGTCCATCTTGAGGCGTGGATTCATGTTTTCACTTGGTGAGCCAAATTTTCTGCTTTCAGTAAGTATGAATTCAAGAAGGGAAGAATATTGTAAATAACATGTTTGAGCCTCTGGTCTAGAATTTTTGTCAAACAAGTTTCTTTCCTCTGTGAATATTAAGTTAGTAACAGATTTAGCTGAGACTTTTGGTATCCAATTTTGCCACCTTAAAAACCATTCTAATGTCATGAATGTAGGAAAAAAATGATGACAGGTTGACAGATACACAAATGAGCACACTTGAGCACCTGGATCCAGCCATCATTTTAACCAGTCATCCTAAGACATTCAACTGTAAATTGTATCGCCTAATAATCACCCGTGGGTAGTCAACATTTTTAATTTTCAGATTTCACTTTAATACATACACAAAGACACACAAATAATTTTGACTACTATATTACCTAGGATGGTTAGCAAAAGAAGCTTTCAACACGCAAACATTATCAGAATATTCCTTGCTTGTCTGAGGAAATTTGGGCTGTATATGAAGATGCATTATCCTTAAAAATGGCAAGGAAAACTCTGTGACGACAACACCTTGCATTTGCAGGTGACATTTATCACTCACCTGCAATGTAGCTTTCCTTTTGTAAGAAAAAAATATGCAACAGTTTTAACCTCAAACTGACATAGAATTAAGGCTGCTTTATAGGTGAGGCCACTGAAGCCAAGAAATCCCCAAGCAAGCAAGAACTCAAGTCTGTACTGGAACATCCAGATTCTTAATCTCTAAATTGTTTCATCTGCATTCCTCTTTGAATTTCTTATACATTTCTTAAACCTAGAGTGTTCATCAGATGTACATGGGGAGAGTTTAAGAATGCAGATGGAAGTGCAACATGCCAGAAATTTTCAAGGCTATATCCTGGGTAGCTATGTTTTAAAATTCTTCTGAATGTAGTTATGTTTCAGGCAAAACACCAGGACTTCTCAGAGTCGGTGGTCCATAGAACTACTGCATGTCATAGAATGGTTTGTGAAGTCAATCATAGGATTGGGACCTTCATCCAGAGCAAATTATTTGTCACTAAACACACTGTTTAGTTTACCTGATACACACACACGTGTGCACACCACACTCTAGCCTGTCAGATTCACTGCTTACAAAACAATTTCAAATAACATTGTCGTGTTGGATGCATACTGCTCTCCTGGGAAAGCATTCATTAAACAGTGAGATCTTTATTGTCTTCTTGACTATATGATAATTTTTTATGCTGCTAGTTAGTGGAAGTTTGTTCCGAGAGTTTGACTTGCTCTAGTGTAAGAATAATTACACGCCTTGATATTCTTCATCTATGAATATGAAACACCCTTTGTTTCATCAAAGCTCAACTGCTCTTTAATCTGATGTATATATCAGATGTTGAACACTCTTACTATTGCAATTTTTAACACATACATTACCACTAGCAAAGCAAAAATAACTATTCCATGGGTGATTCATCACACCACCAAGAGTCTCCCCCCTACTGCTGATCTCCTGGTAGAAATAAAATAGATCTCTAACTGACATTAAAATTTTCATTTGGGCTGCTATCATGAGTAGCATGCCTCTAACTCTAGTAAATTATTTTTTAATCAAGTTCTCTAGGAGTAACTGCCTTTTAATGCAAAAGGTAATGGCACACTTAAGTAGCAACAACCAGATGTAGTTGATTTAAAGGCTGAGGAGGGAGGCAGGAGTCAAATATACAATGTGTGATTAATAAGGAAGTCTGCTTTCATCTTATCTCTAAACATTCCTTTGTAGATATATAACTGTGAAATCCATCTTGATGAGCCATATCAGCCAGGTTCAGGAAAGAGTTTTAAAAATTTTTGTTGACTTCATATATTCCCTAAGGGATTTAAAATATGTCTACTGGAAATGATAGCTACCTCAATGTTCTGTGTTTTCTAACCATTTAAGATATGACAGTAGGAGCTGATACATTATGAACTAAGAATCTTTCAACTCAGCCACAAAATTTCTTGACTGTATTGCCCCTCTCAGTGTCTGACTCCAGAGTTGTATAATGCATTGGAAGTGGATAGAGGATGCAAATTAAAACAAGGAAACAAACACTAAGTGATGCTTTTTAAATTAGGAAACACTGATGCAATTGTAAATCGATTTAGTGTTTACAGTTTTCAAATATAGTGTCTGCCTTGATTGTTACGCTAACTTATAAGTGAAATATTCATTCATTTTATAATTCTAGAAATGGAGGGCTTAGGTGACTGTTCAAGATCAAAGAAATGCCAGAGATCAAAGAAAAATTTCAACTTTATCTTTTGATGACCTACTAGCTTTGACGTTTTTACGCATTGCTTTTGTTTGGCATTGGTTAACTGTCTAATACACTGATTTTAATTGTTTTAGCTATGAAGTATTTACTCGCTTGTTCTTTTAAATATATATCTAAGTATGTACTACATATATATAATAGTTAGAAGGTGGTTACCTTCACTTGGCTTCATTATATTGGTGGCTACATTAATTTTAGGTGAGATGAGGGCATCTAGGGCCAGGTATGTGGAAAGTTTATTCTGCCAACATTTTTAACAGAAGGGAGTCATTAAAAATCCTCTCATGAGTTTTTCTTCTTAGAAGCATGAATTTGATTTATTCTGCTCATTTTATTTTTTTCATGAACCATTGTAAAATATAACAAAGGGACTAACAAAACACCAAATCTCCACTGGGACTAGGTTTACACCAGGTTTTACACATATGTACTTCATTGAATCTTTATAACAATCCAGTCATGTAAACATTACGTTCCTTATTTTGCTGAAAGCAGAAGCTCAAAGAAGTTAAGTCAACAGTCATCTAAGATCATGCAAAAGTTAGTAGCAAAGAGTGTCTTGCTTTGAAAGGTGCTAGATTGTCCAGCAAGTTGAGCTTATTTCTAAATGGAAAACCACCCATATGAAGCA